TGCGACCCGTCGTTCTCGTACCCGCGACCGTGTCGTCGTCGCCCGACGCGGCAAGAGCGTCGACGTCGCCGTCGCCGTCGACGTCGATGGCGAAGACGGAGTAGGCGTTGCCCGCCAGCGTCGTGATGATGCGCTCGGCGAAGGACTGGGACCCGTCGTTCTCGTACCACGCGACCGTGTCGTCCCAGCCGGACGCCGACAGCACGTCGACGTCGCCGTCGCCGTCGACGTCGATCGCGAAGACGGAGCGGGCGCCGCCCGCCAGCGTCGTGATGACGCGCTTCGTGAACGATTGGGACCCGTCGTTCTCGTACCAGGCGACCGTGCTGTCGTAGTACGACGCCGACAGCGCGTCGACGTCGCCGTCGCCGTCGACGTCGATCGCGCAGACGGAGTAGGCGGCGTTCGCCGAGTCGGTGATGACGCGCTTGGTGAAGGACTGGGACCCGTCGTTCTCGTACCATGCGACCGCGTCGTCGTTCCAGGACGCCGAGAGCGCGTCGACGTCGCCGTTGCCGTCGACGTCGATCGCGAAGACAGAGTCGGCGCCGTTCGCCGAGTCGGTGATGACGCGCTCGGTGAAGGACTGCGACCCGTCGTTCTCGTACCACGCGACGGTGTCGTCCTCGGCGGACGCCGACAGCGCGTCCACGTCGCCGTCGCCGTCGACGTCGATCGCGAACACGGCGAAGGCCCCGTCCGCCAGGGTGGTGATGACGCGCTCGCTGAAGGCGACGCTCGGGCAGGAGTCGCCCACGCGTGGGGCTGGCGTCGTCGGGGACGCCGTCGGCGACATCGATGGCGCCGGCGAAGGGCTGCGCGTCGTCGGGGACGGCGTGGTGGGACACGGCGTCGGGTCTGGCACCGGAGCGGCCGTGGGCGCCCCGGGGGAGACCGTGGGCCGCGGCGTCGGGGCGGGGTCCGCGTGCGTAGAGCCGCCGCCGCAGGCGCAGCACATGTCGTTCGAGTCGAAGTCCGAATCGTCGTAGTCGCCGCACCAGTGCGG